CTCTATCCTAACTCTATACAAGGTTTGTCAATTTTACCAACCTCATAACTACCAAAAAAAATTTAAATTACCCTTTTTTTCTTCTAGAATGACTTCAAATTGTAACATGAAACTGCATTCGTTTATCCTAAGTAGCTTTAAACTTGTAACAGTATACATCTATTTATAATTAAATTTTATTGTTTTATTGCCCTTTGAACCATGTCTAACTACTACTATTCATGCCATTATAAGTTGTAAATCACTTGGGGAACATGGAACTCATGTTACACCATCAAATTACATTACCCACGAGCTACTCCGAGCTGCTCACGTGCATGCCTCATGAAACATTTTTATTATATTATTATTTATTTTACCTTAACTAACCTAAAGAGATCCTATTTTTACATTTTAGTTACCTTTATAATAATAAATAAAGAATAAACAAGAAATAAAGTAATTACATGAGTATTCTTGTTTTTGCTGTTGACTGTCGATGACACTTAACCCTACTTTTTTATACTAATGGTAGTAATGCACCAAATAATTTTTATTTAATTAAATAATGCACCAAAGAACATAGAATAATAACATGCAAAAAGCAGACAATTTCCTCTAACTATCACAATTTTTCCAGCTTTCTATCTATGCTACAAGAACCGTTACAAATTCATCAAAGCTAGTTGTTATCTTTCCCTGGGAACGAGGCTTGTACTAACACAGAAACTGACAATTATCTGTTCAGAAAACAACATAATACATCATTTGATAGATGAAAACCTTGGCTTTCTATTAGTTATAAATAATATAAATTAAACCTAAGAAAGAACTGTTAATAAATCCTTAAAGAGAGGATGTGACAAAAGGGGGTCTGATTTTATAGTTGATGGCTCTGTAACCAAACAAGATTGAAGGCTATAAAAATTATGGTTTGTCTGGGCAATAACGATTTTATAGTTAGTAATTTACGTTGAATTTCGTACTTTTTGAAGGGGTGGTGAATAAAATAGAGAAGAGGAGATGCCTACAGAAAATGTCAAACACTAGGGGAAATTCAAGATTTTTAAAAATATTGCCTAATAAAATTAAGAATCTAAAACTTAGCTACTATTAAAATATGGATTATTAGCTATGACTTTATGCTATATTAATTAGTATAAGAAACAAAAATTAGTTAAATTAAATTTTGAATGTATGTCACTAAAACCTCATGACATGTGCAGTGAGTGATGCCCGGGCAGAGATCAGTCTGCCAAAATGCCGGACTTTGACTCATGAATCCACTGGTTATGAAAAGATTTAAAGGAGATAAGATTTTACTCAAACTCAAACAGAAGAATGTGATGCAACTGTTTTAAAATGGTAACATTTCTATGTAATAATTTACCTTTTGCCATCAGGATGAAATGCAACACTGTTAATTGGACCAAAATGATCTTTCACTCTGCCAAATTCATCTTCAAACACCAGGTGAAAAAACCTGGCATCAAACTTTCCTGCTCTGGCTGATGTTGTAGTGACATCCATTGCTTCCTGGCCTCCCCCAAGAACAACCTGCATATTAAGAAACAAAACTTTGAAAATGTTGATAGAAAATTTCACGGATATGACAAAAACTTGTGGATAAACAAAGAAAAATTAGTAATTTTGTTTTAATATATTGGAATAAAAACTATCTTTTTGTGATGAGACAAATTCTCACTTCATTTTGTTTTCTTTATGTGCACTGTTTAGTGTTATTCATACTTGTTTAGAAATAAACAGTGCCAAGACTGACATTGTACTTTTCACTTGAAATATATGACTTAAGTAATTATAAAGGTTATCTTTTACTCAAGTCATGGTTTATACAGTAATATTTCAAAAACTAGACAAATTATTGAATGACGGTTATGTACAGAAATAATAAATTATTTCAACAGCTAGTAGAGAATACAGAAATACTTGATCCAGTAACAAGCATAAACCATAACTTATATGTGAATGTTTTTCTTATATTCTGCAGTAAATTTCAGTACAAAAATCAATGAATAAATAATTACAGTCAATTAACCAAGTTATTACATTTATATATACTACTATATCGTTACTACATTGAGTTACTACAAGTTACTACATTTATATATACTACATCGTTACTACATTGAGTTACTACAAGTTACTACATTTATATATACTACTATATCGTTACTACATTGAGTTACTACAAGTTATTACATTTATATATACTACTATATCGTTACTACATTGAGTTACTACAAGTTATTACATTTATATATACTACTATATCGTTACTACATTGAGTTACTACATTTATATATACTACTATATCGTTACTACATTGAGTTACTACATTTATATATACTACTATATCGTTACTACGTTGAGTTACTACATTTATATATACTACTATATCATTACTACAAGTTACTACATTTATATATATACTACTATATCGTTACTACAAGTTACTACATTTATATATACTACTATATCATTACTACAAGTTACTACATTTATATATATACTACTATATCGTTACTACAAGTTACTA